TAATGTTGCTGTGATTAAACAGCATGATAAAGAATTGTTGTCACTATTATCATTTTTATCTACAACCAATATGCTTCAAGTTATCGAATCAATCCAAGCAATCGAATCATCATCATCATTTGACAACACTGAAATTATTAAAAATAAAATCAATGATGAGCAAAATCAAGAAAGTATTTTGATGACAATGCAAGATACACAACTTGAACCAGGAATTGCTACCGATAATATTGCTGTAATTGAACAGCATGATAACAAATTTTTTTCACTATCATCATTTTTATCTACAATCAACGCCAATATGCTTCGATTTATCAAATCAATTCAATCATTCAAACTATCGTCATCTGATAACACTGAAAAAATTGAAGCGATTAAATCACCATTGTTGTCTGAAAATACTGAAAACTTGAGGCGATCGGATCATCATCATCATCATGTGAAAATAGTGAAAAAATTAAAGCAATCAAATCATCGTCGTCGTCCAACAACACTGAAGAACTCAAAAACAATCGAATCATAATACTTGTCCAATGAGAATGAGCGTAATGGCAATGACTATTCTTCATCATTCCAATCATTATTGTCAGCAATTGATACTGACATACTTCAAGCGATTGTATTATTGTCGCTAAAAAATATTGAAGAATTCAAAGCATCTTACTCGAAGAAAGATTTAAATTGCTCAAGTATTGATTTTAGTTCAAATGAAAAAGAATGCTTGTCCAATGAGAATGGCAACAGCAATGACAATTCTTCAGTAATTGAATTGCCACAATCAGCTAAATCTCAAAGATCATTTTCGTATTAGGAAGTGGTACCTTCAGAAAAAGTTTTTTATAACAGAAAAAAAAAATTTCGGCTATCAATAGCCGAAAAACCGTTTAAGGGATTTATGCATTTGTTACACGATTCTAAAATTGCATATTAATATAGGGCTGGGAAAACACTATGATTCGAAAGTACTTTAAAAAAAAGAATGTGACCGCCTCAGCATAGTGGAAATTTGAAATGTTACACTAATTTTTTATATTGTGCAACGTAGCTTTAAAATACACGGCAAACATTCTGGCAATAAAAAGTAAGTGATAAACTGGATTTGAATTTGATCCGAACTTGATCTCCAAT